CTCGACATTAACGTAATAAAACCCGAGTAGAACTCGAGTATTTGATGGCGTCATAGATCTCAAGATACAAAAATAAATAAATAAATAAATCCGCAATAAAAGGTAATTATTTACAAAAAAAAAAGACCAACAAAACATTGGGAGCGTATATTATACTCCTACCATTTATCATACTGCAAATAAGTCACAGGAAAAACTAAACCATTAGTTATTATTATTAAACTGCAAACGTGAAGAAAAGTGCAGCACGTCAGAAATGAAACTTAAAACAGTGGATGGGCGGTGGATTGGACCCGGTGTTACACCATACTCTGTGACCTGCAAACACTGCCCACTACGGTCATACGGTGGTCACATAATATGACGTCACTACGGTTACTCGACATTAAATTTTTACCTCGATAGAGGTCCTAGCAATCGATGTGTAGATTACTCGAGTACTCTGTTAATGCCCTATATATATATATATATATATATATATACTATACCATACAATTTTATTTATAGAGCACTTAAAACAGCGACAAGGCCAACCAAATTGCTGTTCAAACAGAACAACAGGTAACACACAAAGCAATATACAAAATGAAGTAAATCAGAATATAGACATAAAAACGATGCAGATAATGACGACTAACCAGTGTGGAGCATACAGGTTCAAAACACAGATCATCTGGTGTCGAAAGCTACCAAATAGTAGTGGGTTTTTAAACGGGACTTGAAGACCGAGAGGGAGGGGGCCTGTCTGACAAGCAGAGGTAACTCGTTCCAAAGTCTTGGTCCTGCTACAGAGAAGGCCCTGTCATCTCTGCGCTTAAGACGAGTTCCTGGAACTATATATGCGTTTTAAACCCTTCCCACAATCTTGCAATATTCTAAACAATGTTTCTAAACTAAACACTCTAAAAGAGCACAGAATGTCATGATTTCAACTCTCTGCTATCTGCCAGCCTCTTGGCCACGCCCACTTCTCTGCTCTGCATGGAGATATGACACACTGCATGAAAAAGCTTCTCCTGCAGCTTGGGCTGCACACTGGTGCTAAATAATTTAAAATAATTGATTAAAAAAAAAAATTCCATGCCGATCGTGCAACTCATCCATCGATCAGCCAATTGTGTGTCATGTCCAGTCTTACTTTGAAAAACCACGATAGAGCGAGTCCGTGAGAAACGAACCGCGAATTAGCGAGAGACTACATTTACTTTTAATCACCTTCAAGACACATATCAGTTACTCTTGTTGAATAAAAAGAAAAGGGATTTGTTACAATGAGGAACTATGAATTTAATTGTTCATTTCTTTGTTGCAGACGGTGTTATCTGATGAAATTCAGGGTCTAGTCGGAGTCATGGTTCAGGCGGCTGACACAGTAACGGGCATGATGACACAGATTCTCCCTGCTGTCCGTCAACTGCAAAGCTACATGCGCTCCATCCAAGATCTCAACTTGGTGTCCAACGCAGATTTTTCACAAGTGCGTCTTCTCATTCTATAGGTTTTAATTCTTATGTAGTGTTTGTATTCATAGTTTGTGGTTGACATACAGCCAAGAAACAAACAAAAAAAAAAGGTCAGATTTTGTGATTCAAAATAGAAATCTGTGTCCAATGACTCAGATCTTTTTCTCTTCCCCAGATGGCAAGAGGGATGAAGTCTAGCAGCTCCACCCAACCTACATTTGTGACACTGTCTCGTGCGATGTGCTCTAACGGTATCCTGGCTCTGTTTGGAATCTCAAAGATGCCTGATTTGTCAGAGTCCTCACGTTTTAACAAGCAAAAGAAGGAAGAGATGATCGAGAGGTTCAAGATTCCACGAGATTCCTGTAAGCTGAAATGAGTTTAGGACTTGAGATTAAATGCTTTTTATAGGAACATCTGTTCTTTAGAGCAATTCTAGTTTATATAATGTTAAATGTTTAAAATTTCCTAAAAGCTGTCATGATTTTACTAGACTTTGTTTTTTTTAGTCTAAATTTAAACTTTTTTTAATTCTTCCTCTATTATTAAATTGTTCACCTTGGCTGCAACTCAATCAAGTAATATAGTTAAGTATAATTTTTAAAAATACTTTATTTGAACAAAGTATGAGTTAAAATAATTAGTCCATCTCCATGTTAACAGGTCACATGTATGTTTTCTTCATGGTCAGCAACATTATTTCACAAAATATACCTGCTCTAAATGTATTTGCAAGCGTCCTGTTTCTAGATGTTCTTAGAAAATATTTGTTAAAGACAGCATTAAGAATGTTTAGATGTACATTTGCAAACTTATAATTAACAAGCTGCAAAATTGCCATTGCCCTATCATTAGGGGGTCAAGGTGGTGTAGAGGCAGGGCAGCCGACTTGGGACCCCAAGGTCCCAGGTTCAATCTGCAGTCATTCCAGGTTCAATCCCCAGTCATTGCACATCTCATGGTGTCCCTGAGCAGAACACCTCATCCCCAGTTGCTCCAGGCCACCCTCAATAGCTGGCCACTGCTCCAACTGCTCCACCTGGTGGTGGATGGGTTAAATGCAGGGAGCCTATTTCACCATTATATGAAAACATACAATGATGACAACACATACATATTATTATTATTATTCTAAAATAATCAGTCTTCTCTATGTTAAAATACAGTCACATGTTTTGATCTACTTCCATTTATTTCAGAAAGTTTTCTTACCATATAAAACATTATCATCATTTTCTGCAGATTGAGTTTCACTTTTTAGTTGAGTCAGGAAAACATGCACTTTAAATATCACAATACATCACTGTATCAAATTAAAATATCATTGTGGAGCTTGTTTTGGCTTTTTAGGTCTGAGGATTCAGATTCGTTGTGGGTTTTTTTAACCCCACAATATGCTTCACCTTTCCTATTTAGAATCAGAATCAGAATAAGCTTTTATTATCATTGTACCAAGATACAGCGAGAATATGTCCGTGCAGTCGTCCGAAAGATGAGCGGAGTGCACCTAGCTACTGCTCTTTGAGAGCGCCCGCTCTTATCCTTTTCAGAATACTTTTTTAAATTATCTATATATATATACACCTAGGCAACGACGTTCTC